CTAAGCCACCACAAAAGAACACATATTGTATGATTCCACTTATATGAAATAAATACAACAATTTGATAGAGACAGGAAAAAAAAATAGAAGATACCAGTTGAGAAAWAGAAGAGAATGGAGAGTAATTGCTTGATGGTTATAGAATTTCTGTTTGGAATAATGAGAACATTTTGGAAATAGGTAGTGGTAAAGGTTGTACAACATTCTAAATATAATTAATGCCACTGAATTGTTCACTTTAAAAAGTTAAAATGGACGGGCTGGGATTGTGGCTCAGCGGTAGAGCACTCCCCTAGCACTGGTGGGACCCGGCTGATTCTCAGCACCACATTAAAAAATAATAATAATAAATAAAATAAAGGCATTGTGTTGTGTCCATCTACACCTAAAAAAAAAAAGTTAAAATGGGGGCTGGGGTTGTCGCTCAGTGGTAGAGTGCCTGCCTAGCACATGTGAGACACTGGGTTCAGTCCTCAGCACCACATAAATAAAGATATGTCCATCTACAACTAAAACAAATATTTTTTAAAAAAATTTAAATGGCAAATTTTATGCATATATAAATTATATATATATTACACCACAGTAAAAAATTAAAAAGCAGGTATATACAAAAGTAGTGAAAATAGTGTTAAAAGTTATTTTGGGGGGTACTTGTTAAAACTATTGATTCAAGCTGGGTGCTGAGGCATATGCCTATAATCCTAGCAGTTTGGGAGGCTGAGGCAGGAAGGATTGTGAGTTCAAAGCCAGCATCAGAAAATTTAGTGAGGCCTTAAGTAACTTAGTGAGACTCTGTCTCTAAATAAAATATTTTAAAAAAGGGTTGGGGATGTGGCTCAGTGGTTAAGCACCCCTGGGTTCAATAACCAGTACCAAAAAATCCAAAAACAGCAACAACAAAAACTACAGGTCAATGGAGCAGAGTACAGAATTTATTATGTGATTAAATCAAGCTTTACAAATCAATGTACAAGGACAATTGGTCAGGAAAATAATCAATATGCATCTTCATTTTGTGTTATATGCAAAAATAAATCCAATGCAGGATTAAATCAAACATAAAAACTCTAGGACTGGGGATGTATGTAGCTTAGTGGTAAAGCACTTGCCTAGTATGTGTGAGGCCCTGGGTTCCATCCCTGAGAAAACAAAACAAAAATTCTAGAAGAGGGCTTGGAGATGTAGTTCAGTTGGTAGAGTGCTTGCCTAGCATGCACAAGGTGCTGGGTTTGATTCTCAGAATTGTAAAAAGTAAAATAAAGAATTAAAATTGTGGCGCACACCTGTAATCCCAGCGGCTCAGGAGGTGGAGGAGGCAGGAGGATCCCRAGTTCAAAGCCAGCCTCAGCAAAAGTGAGCAACTAACTCAGTGAGACCCTGTCTCTAATAAAATACAAAACAGGGATGGGGATATGGCTTAGTGGTCAAGTGCCCCTGAGTTCAATCCCTGGGGTTGTCGCTCAGTGGTAGAGAGCTTGCCTAGCACATGTGAGGCACTAGGTTCGATCCTCAGCATCACATAAAAATAGATAAAATTAATGTATTGTRTCCATCTACAACTAAAAAAAAAATATTTTTAAAGAATTAAAATTTTATTTTTTCTTTTTTTCCCCCCTCAGTATTGGGACTCTCTACCACTGAGCTATACCCCCAGCCCTTTTTATTTATTTATTTTATTAATTTGTTGTTGTTGTTGTTGTTAACAGGAATTAAACACAGGGGCTCTTAACCACTGAGCCACATTCCCAGACCTTTTTAKTTTTTGTTTTGACACAGGACCTCACTAATTTGTTGAGGCTGCTTTTGAACTTGYAATTCTCCTGCCTCAGGCTATCAAACTGCTGGAATTACAGGCATGCACCTCTACACCCAGCAGTCACAGGCTTCTTATTAAATAAACATATTATTTTCACAATATGCCTATTTTATTTTCTGATGAAAGCAGAAAATTAGTAGAAGGGATTAGATCTTTTCCATCTGGCAAGGTAGTACATATTTGTAATCCAAGATCCTCAAGAAGTTTTTCGGTAAGAGGATGGAAAATTCAAGGCCAGCCTAAGCAATGTATTAAAACCCTGTCTCAAAATAAAAAGGCTGGGATGTAGCTCAGGGGTAAAGCATTTGTGTGGCATGCAGGAGAGCCCTGGGTTCAATTCCCTGTACTGCAAAGAAAAGAAAAGCTGGCATTAAAGTAATCTTCCCTGCTGGAGMAGTGGTACATGCCTGCCATCTCAGTTACTTGGGAGGCTGAAGCAGAAGTGTCTCAAGTTTGAGGCCAGCCTCAGCAATTTATCAAGATTCTGTCTCAAAAGGTGGGTGAGGGGCAGTGCTGGGGTTTTATACCTCAGTGGTAGGGTACTCGTGGATTCTGTCCCTAGGATTGCATTAAATAAAATAACCTTCCCTGTTGATCTTTGAGAGTCTTCAAATGGGTAGGAGTAACTGTAAAGAAGACACTGGATGACAGTTGACCCTGAATAACTATCCTAATTCCTTCTACCAAACTATTCTTACATTTTACTGAGCATTTTGGAGGCATTTGGGAATGTGAATAAATATAAGTTGCTCTAGTTAAAAAAAAAATAGATATTATGATGCCAGGCACCATGGCACATAACTGTAATACCAATGACTGGGGAAACTGGAGGATCACAAGTTCAAGGCCAGCCTCAGCAATTTATTGATACCCTATCTAAAAATTAAAAAAAATAAAAAGGTCTGGGATGTGGTTTAGTGGTAGAGTGTTCCTGGGTTCAAACTCAAGTACTACAAATAGATAAAAAAAATGTTTAATTTTTAAAAAATATTAGATAACATGAGAATTAAAATGCTGAACAAAAATTCAGCAAGTAAATAAGTAATCAATAGTTAYGCTAAATATCTGAAATGTATATAAAATAGTTTTTAAAATGCTCATTTTAAAAAAGCTTTCAATACTTTCACTATTTCAAAAAATACAATGTTTTAAAATGACAACTACAGACAACACTTTTTTTAATGTACAAAAGATTTCTTACAAAAGGATCTCTTGGTTTTTGTTTACAAAGCTCTGTGAGTCCTTTAAGCAGAGTTGGTGTGACATATAAATTTAAATAGTCCTTAGCGGCTTGTCCAATTGGAATGGGCTCAACAATCACTGTAAATACAAATATATTCTTGTTAAAACAAACATAAGTGATGAAATATAAGAAAGTTATTTGAAAGGATACCAGAGGGCTGGGATTGTGGCTCAGTGGTAGAGGGCTTGCTTTCTGTGTGAGGCACTGGGTTTGATTCTCAGCACTGCATATCAATAAATGAATAARATAAAACTTCATCAACAACTAAAAACTATTAAAAAAAAAAAAAAGGATACCTGAAACCTAGCGCGRTGGCAGACACCTATAATCCCAGCTTACTCATGAGGCTTAAAGAGGACTATCACAAGTTTGAGGCCAGACTAAGCAATCTGGGAAGACCCTATCTTTAAATATAAATGGGGGGGGGGGCTGGGATTGTGGCTCAGAGGTGGAGCACTCACCTAGCATGTGTGAGGTATTGGGTTTGATCCTCAGCACCACATTAAAAAAATAAAATAAAGATATTGTGTCCACTTATAACTAGGATCACATATGTGCAACACCACGCCCAGTTTTTATAAAATAAATACTGTTTTATATAAAATATAAAGTATTTTATAGTAGACAATATTATGAAAATGTGAAWAAATGTTCAAAACTAGGAGACAAAGTACTTGTTATTTGTTGAATGAATTATCTCCTAATACTTTACACAGTGTTACAGAAACAATAGTAAATAATATATAGTTCTTGCTCTTACAGAGTACTGAGTATTCATATAAAATGTTTCCATCTATACAATTTTATTAATATTTCTACTCTTTTCAAATTTTTAAATATGTCAGATTCAGAAATTTTTAGACTTTTCAGTTTTATTTTCTTGTCACACTACAAGTGACAAGTCTTACAATAAATAGAATTTATAAAGAATATATTTATATTCAGGAAACTGACAGAACATTGTAAGTTCAAGGCCAGCTTCAGCAATTTAGTGAGAAACTGTCTTAAAATAAAAAGGGCTGGGGAAGTAGTTCTATGGTAAAGTACCTCTGATTCAATCCCCAGGATCTGCACCTCCCCATCCTGCCATATATATATATATAWAATAAGTAATAGTAGGTCCATTATTTTTCTTTTTTCTTTTTCCTATCTGCAATGCTGGGGATCAAATCCAGGATATGGTGCATTCTTAAGCAAGTGCTTTCCTCCAGATACACTGAGATATACCCCCCCCCCCAGCCCAATGTGTTACTTTTAATAAAGATGAGAAAGTAAAGCTACTGGTCACCAGATTTTTCTTTTTGTTAAAAATATGATTGAAAACCATCCCAAAATATCAGTGCTGTTCCTTACTATGTCCTCTTCCAAGAAGCTTACAGCGTCCACAGTAGAATGGAAACAAAAAAAAGATCCTAGAATTGTTAATTTCATAACTGCATGAGACTTTGTTAGGCAAACAGTTAACTGTTAGAGAAGATGGTAAATCAATTGWAATTTCTAAGAGAGTTCCTTTTCTTCCTTCCTTCCCCTACTTCTCGTATAAAAAGTTTTATTGAAGCACTAAAGATTAGGAGAAGAGCAACCCTAAATATGTCTAATCTAAGAGAAAGAAAGAAAAAAAAAAACTTTCAAAAGATTCCCTAAAGGGCACAGTTTAGTTCTGTGGAAATGTTTAGTTTTCGATTTGTGGCTTCAAGTTATTGAGTAACTCCAACTTGAAAATATGACAAAATATATCGGAGAAAACTCCTGTTATCTTCCTTCCCAGCCATATCTTCAAAAGAAAAGAAAAATCAAATAAGGCGATAGAGTTGACAGATCAGTCACATGTAACTCACCTTTAGGAAACATGAAACGAATTTCTCTTTCTGCTGCAGTAAAGTCATTACTCCCATGAAGTGCATTCCTCAGGTCATCTGTGCCATAAATTGCCCTTAGACTAAAAGTAAATTAGAGTTGATGCCCATCCAATCCACACCTTTTCCTTATTTCATATGAATGCATTCTACTTAGAAATCTTACAGAAGCATTGCCACTTCTCACTTATGTRGGCTTTCATATATTTTGAACTTTAGCTTATATCTATCTAGATAAGGGCCAAATACATTTAAATCTGCAGGAAGGATACACTGGGAAAATAGGAGTTCTCTAGGTAAGAAAGCGGTGTTATTTTGTGAGAACTGAAAAAGCAATGCATACACAGAAGTGCCAGAACTCAGGGTAAGGATATGGCTTAGTGGTAGWTGGTTGCCTGGCATGTGTGAGGCYCTAGGTTCAATCCCCAACAATGGGTGTGGGTTGATGGTGTTCAAGAACTCAGTGTCCTCTTGTTTTCAGACATTAGTGATAATGCTGAAAATTTGGGTTTCTTCTGAATTACCAATATTCTTTTAAAATACCATACCAATTTTCCCATGAAAAATCCTACTTCAGTGGCAGTTTAATTCAAGGATAAGAAAAGAATAAGGCTAATTAATCAAATTATAATTTTCTGAGGCCTTTTGTAGTATTTGGTATTAAGATAGACACTGAAATAGTTAAAATAGAAAATCAAAACCCCACAGACTCCTCAAAGAAAAGCTAATTGAGGAAAACTTCTAAATAAAAGAAAAATCCCATTACAATAAAATCAGACTTTCTTTTTAAAAAATTTTTACAGATGGATTCAATTCTCCCATCCCAGGAAGATTACCTGTCTGGGTGTGTCTCCTTAGCTACTAAAGAATTACTTGGTCCCAAAAGTTCTTTCCAGTAAGCGAYGGCTTTATGTCTAGCTAATATCATGGCAACAAGTGGTCCAGAACTCATGTAGGCTGTTAAATTTGGGAAAAACATTTTCCCATACTGTTCCACATAAAAGTTACTACAGTGCTCAGGGCTAAGATGTAGTTTTCTTCTCTATAAGAAAAACAAAGTTAACAAAAGCATTTAAAGTGACAGTTCAATAGTACCTTATTAAGTCATTAAAATAACTTGAAATTAGTACCAATCTAATTACAAACTTGGCTTATCTTTATATTATGAAGAAAGAACATGATAATTAAATGTATACTGAAATAAGATAATAAGAGGTATTATGTAACCTACTGAAGAAAAATGATTCCAGTTTGGCAACCTTCCTTACTAATGACAAATTCATCGTATTTCCTTATTTATTTATTTTTTTTTTTTTTAGTGATACTGGGGATTTAACCCAGGGGCCTTCTACACCCCCAGCCATTTTTACTTTATTTTCATTTTATTTTGAAACAGACTGGACTTGAATTTGTAGTAATCTTTCCTCAACCTCCAACTTGCTAAAATTACAGGCATACACAATTGCACACTGCTCCTTCCCACTATTTTTGGTTCTTGGGATTAACTCAGGAATATTCTACCATGAAGCTACATTCCCAGCCCTTTTTATTTATTTATACTGAGAATTTATTTATTTGGAATTAATTAATTAAAATTGGAGGTTGAACACAGGGGCACTTTACCACTGAGCTACAAACACAGCCTTTTTTAATTTTTATTTTTAGACAGGGTCTCAAATTAAGTTGCTAAGGTTAGCCTCAAACTTGTGATCCTCCTCCCTCAGCCTTCTGAGTAACTGAGATAATACATGTAAGCCCCCATCACATCTCCTTCCTAAAGTAATATTCCAATTATCAGGATGTTGTCAATGTGTACTTCATACATATTAAAGAAACAAAATTGGACTTCTGAATATTTCAAATTCATCTTTCACTATATATGTGATTTTTTCCATTCTTTGTTAAATTTTTCTACATTACTTGGGAAACTGGTTTCGTTATGGTCATTAGAAATATCATGCAGAAAAATGATGCAGAAAGGAACATTTTCACTTGAATGTTATGTATTCTTTATTCTGGTTCTGACATATCTGTTGATTTCACTGTAATCCTAAGAAAAATTAGTTGTGTTTCATTTCTCCATTTGACATAATATGAAACATTTTGGACAAATAAATGTTCCCCCCCCTCCACAAATGTGAAGCTTTATAAGAAGGAACAATTAGGACTGGGGATATAGCACAGTTGGTAGAGCGCTAGCCTGGCATGTACCAGGCCCTGGGTTCAATCCCCAGCACCACAAAAAAAAAAAAAAA